GGCTGGCAGGGCTCTGAAAAGAGACATTGTTCGGATGAGCAGCGGACGATGATACTGATAAGGAACCAGATCAAGCAGCAGAAGATCAGAACCAGACAAAGGCCCAATCAAAAAGCCCTTCAGACTTCCCGAGATTCGTAAAGTGAATAGTTGTTGTCTTGTAGGTGTTTCATTCAATTCTCATTGGTCCAGTCTGCACCGGGCTCGTTCATCCAGCTTGCCCAAAGACAAACAGACAAAGCTGATGACATTGGCCCCGGCCTCGGCGCAAGCGCGCGGATGAACTCAAAGATGCTGAGCCTCTCATCCTGCCGCCCGGGAAGAAGGCGCGTAAAGGGCGCATGGCGTGCAGAGAGCAAAGAAGAAGCACATGGGTCAAATGAGACAGAAAGAAAACATCCAGTTAACTGATTGCAGCACGAAAGGGGATTAAGCACAGAAGGTGTGACGCGGGAAGCCCCATGCTTAGGCGAATGCTTCATCCAGGCAATGTTTGAAAAGACTTCCTGTTGTTTGGCTGGACTACCATGTCTGCACATGCATTCAAGCTAGAGACCCTTCTTGCTGGCTGGTTTATCGTTGGAGGCCACCAATATGGCGTCAAAAGTGAAAACCATTATTGTCGTGTGGGCCAACTTCCCACTCGGGCCGAACGTTGTGATGTCTCTCACTTTTGCTCCCTCCTTCAAACACTGTGCCCACCTCAAACCGTGCGAACCCAGCCCGCTCCTCCTTCCCCAAGCTGTCAATCTTGGACATGCACACCGCGACCTGGTCAGTTGGCCCAGCAGGAAAGAACACGTGTTGGGGCCCAAATCCCACACCGAACAAAGTAGCCACATCAACAGCTTGGCTGACTTGCGTGGCAAAACGTCAAACGCCGAACTATTCTCTCATCTTTCATAGATGCCGATACTTGTTGTTCCGGCTGGGTGCGGAATGGATTCGTCTCCAACTATGGGAACCTCTCCAGTATCAGAGCCGGCCTCTTCGTCAGTGAAGCGGTGGGACATGGGCAGGGAGCGCAGGCCATTCTTCAGCTCCGCCAGGGACAAGAAGCCCGAATTGTCCTTCGCTCTGCGTGACAAGGGTGGAGTTGAAAGTTGATTTAGCATCCGCCTCGGGGATCTCAAGGCAGATCTCTGCGCTCACTTACGTTCTGTGGGTTCCAGGTGCCCCTCGTGGTACCTTTGAGCCTCCTAGCCCAGTACTTGGGGAGTTCTTACAAGAGGAGGTAGGTATCTCATCGGGATACCTGAAATGTTTATTGATTTAAACGTCTAGAATGGTCCATAGGGGTCAAAGCAAACGTCAACGTCTAATCTCTGCTACTTGTTGTGGCCTTCGTTACAGGGAACGATAGTCATGTCCCGTGTGAAACCTTGAATACATGCAACCTTTGCTGCACCGCTATTGGGTTCCATTTCTCAAACGACCCAACGGTGCCCCACACACACACACACACACACACACCTACACACACACACACGCACATACACACAAATAAAGAAAACACAAACAAACAAACAAAGCTAGGGGAAAACACAGGAGCTTCGTGGGCTTTCAAGTAGGCGGCCCTTTGGCGAACTTTGCGAGAGGGGGGAAGGTGCCACGAGCTTCGAAGCCCCCAGGGGTTAGTGCAAACGACCAAGGGCTTAATGGAAATATACGGACTGATGTCTTTAGGGTTACCCTCGGCGGTTTTTTCCCTGAAAAACAACCAAAAGACAAACAAACAAGCAAGCAAGCAAGCAAACAAACCACCAAATCACCAAACAAACAGACGGACGGACGGACGGATGGACGGACGGACGGACGGACGGACCGACAGACAGACAGACAGACAGACAGACAGACAGACAGACAGACAAACAGACAAATAGGCAAACAAATAAATAGATAAATAGATAGACAAACAGATAGACAAACAAACAAACAAACAAACAAACAAACAAAACAAACAAACAAACAAACAAACAAACAAACAAACAAACACACAGACACAGCCAACCAACCAGCCAGCCAGCCAGTAAGCAAGCAAGCAAGCAGGCAAGCTGACAGGCAAGTAGGCAGGCAAGGAGGCAAGCAAGCAGGCAGGCAGGCAGGCAGCCAGGCAGGCGGGCAAGCAAGCAGAAAGACAGAGAGACAACGAGGCAGAGAGACAAACAGACAGAGAGATAGAGAGACAGAGAGACTGACAAACAAGCAGACAGGTCAACAAACACACAAGCCACTGATGCCCTGCTTTGAACTAGTTCTGCGATTTGACTCGGCTTGGTAAATTAGTTCTGGTGCAAGTGTCAATGTGCGCCTATCACTCCATGCATCCGCACTTCACTCCAGGCCTTTTCTGTCACGACACAATCCATCCCAAAAGAGATTCTTGCAACTCTTGCAGCCACTGCAAGACAAACACAATCCACACCATCAGCTTCGAGTTGCCGCCTCCCTCACTCCGACCTACATCCGGAAACCGGAGCCATCCTCATCCCAGGACCGGAAGATGCTCGCGAGGCTGTCCCCGGATTGCATGATCTTCCGGCCGATGGCATCGGCCACATCAGCGCAGGGGTCGTCTTCCCTCTTGGGAGGGTCCTGGCTCACCAACCTCGCAGGAAACGGCTTGGCACGTCCCCGAAAAGACAAGCTATGCCTTTGCTTCGGAAGGGCGCCTTCCACAACAACTGGGATAGGATCATGAGCCACAGCTGGCCCTAACAACAAACACACAATTTGCAGGGCACCCACGTATTAGGTCGAAACTAGCCCAAACCTGTGCCCTGAACAACTCAAGAGGTCAAAAGTTGGGCTGCTGCAACAGAACCCTCGCTTCAACCCTTGGATTGCCGGGTCAACCGTGTTGAATGCACAAGAATGGTTCGCGGACTCATCCTTGAAGGAAGCAAACATGCTTATGGTGAACATCCAGAAGCGTAACTGGTAGCCTGCGCAAGACATGAATCCGCTGTAAGTCACCGCAAGACGCACCGGAAGACACACCGCAAGACACGATACTCCCAAGCGTGGCACGGCCAGCATCCCAGCAAATAATATTGCCACACACCAGGACCCGTGCAAAAGATGCTTCTTATCTACAAGCCGAACAGGCCCACAGGAACCAAAAGTGCAACTCGAAACTCTCAAACCAATCGCATGGGGCAACTCAGTGATTCTGTCTGAGGTCCCAGTACATCCAGGATTTATCTTTGTCACACACGCACTTGTGCCGACCAGGTATAGCGAAACAAGTGGCGCCAAGCAAAGGATGGTGTTGTCCAGGTTGATGGGGTCCTGGTCCACCATCCCGGCCATCGTCTCCTCACGAACTCGGCGAAAGGGTGCAGAAAGTCTGAGCTTTCCGAGCCAGGGTCAAGGCACGGAAATCAGCAACCAGCGCCAACTGAAGTCTAGCCAAAATCGAGGGCACGGAAATCAAGAGCTTGGTGCTTGCTACGTGTGCGAGCCAAGGTTGCGCTAAGCCTTAAGCTGAATCAGGCACCAACTGCCAATCATTGGCACAATTCAACGACTGGAAAGGGGCCATCAGCAAGCAACAACAGCCAATCAGCGACCAGGCTCACTGACCAGCTGGTCCCAATTAGCAGAGCATGATTCAAAATACAGTTTGCAGCATGTTCTCAATATGCGTTGCGGCACGGTGTACTATATGATTTACGATGTGCCGTAGATAGGGAGATATAATGAGGTTGGATGTGCACGGATATTTGCGAGTCGACAGTGTTTGCAGCTGGAAGCACCAGCCCCAACAATGCACCGCTTTGGTGGGGATTTGCACTGCTCAAAATAGAAAAACATATCAGAAAGGAACAGGTTAAAAGCGAGCTGTGGTGAGAATCCAGCGTTCTGAGCGGCTCAAAAATATCAAAGTAGATTTACACGACTGGAGAATGGCAGGCTGTTCCTGGGATGTGCTGAATGAAATTCAAGCGTACGTTCGAACGCCCCAACGCCCACTGCCCAACAGACGAGAGGCGTACAAGGCGGCAGCCTGCCATGGCGGGACCTGCCATGTGCCGGTGACGCAAAAACATATATCGAGGGAAACACTTCGCTGTCGCCAGCGGGACACCAAGAATGTTAGAAATTGTGGGCCGTTTTTGGGGATTGCTCAATGTTGGGACTCCTTCGCTCCAGGAAAGTATCACAGGAAAGCCATGATGTTGTTGCCTCATGCAGATTCTCAGACTCCAAGCAACACACAGGCAAAGACACTAACTTGATCCTCAAGGTTTCCTCAGTGAATTACCCAAAAGGTCACAAACGTATTGTGTAACAGTTTTACGTACGTTCGAAACCATGGAGGTTGACTTTCAAAGAAGCTGAGCCGCGTGGCAAGAAAAGTGAGGGTCAGCCAAGGAATGCTCAGGCTACCAAGCTTCAATTCTAAAGAGGCAACAAAGCTGAGGCTCAACTCAGCCTTTCAACTTTGGCGTGGCTGTATGAAAATATCAGGAGCGCTTCATTTGACCCATGTCAAAGAAAAACAACCTGCTCTCAAGGTGCTGGAACGCGGCCTTCTCCAAAACTGGAATTGGTTAAAGTTGGCAACTTACACCCCCCTGCGTGGCTTTGCATAAATTGGATGTCAACATGTCATGCCTGTTGAACGGATGATTGCTGCAGCGTTTGCCGTCATAGCCGCAACGGTTCAGTTTGCGCTTTTGGAGGCTCAGAGAACCGCGCCTGTATGTGGAACTGCGGCAGGAAACTGGCGAACTCTCGGTGGGACACAGCCTGCGCTCTTAGCATCCTACCACGCTAGCCCGGAGTGCCTTGAAAGGAGGAGGGGTTGTAACCACGACTGGCAATGAAATCTAAAACCGCGCCAAAACTTTAGCACAACCCCGACAAAAAAAAAGAAGCTCGACAACGCACGTTTTTGGCCCAATCGTACTGGATCTGCACATTTTGAGTTAGACGGCCTTTTTGACTAGGAAACGACGGTCTCGGCACTAATCAGCGATTTGGGCGCTGGATCTGTGGATTTTGAGTCAAACGGCCGTTTGACTAGGAAAAGCGCTGGATCTGTGGATTTTGAGTCAAACGACCGTTTGACTAGGAAAACGCGATTTGGGCGCTGGGTCTAGGAAAACGCGATTTGGGCGCTGGATCTGTGGATTTTGAGTCAAACGACCGTTTGCCGTTTGAGTAGGAAAACGCGATTTGGGCGCTGGATCTCTGGATTTTGAGTCAAACGGCCGTAAAACCTTTGGCAGCTACTGGTGCTTCAAAAGCCCAAGGCACATTGAGCAACCCAGAACCAACCATGGCCGCGCGCAAAGCGGCTTTGCCAAGTCAAACGGCTGCGCCAATGGTCCGAAAGAATGAAGTATCACGGTATTTGGTGCCTTGGGCTCATAACTGCGTAGCACAATTGGCTGAGCTCCTTCTTTGAAGCGCCGCAGGGGTGAGAGAAAAACCTGTTTGGACAGACCTGTTCCAAAAACTCAATAGGGTGAGAGAAGAATCTGAAGAGACAGATCTGTTTGAAAAACTCAGGTGAGAGAAAAACCTGAATAGACAGATATGTAAGAGAAAACCTGAATATGGGTGAGAGAAAAATCTGAATAGACAGATCTGTTTGAAAAACTCAATATGGGTAAGAGAAAAGCCTGAATAGACAGATCTGTTTGAAAAACCTGAATAGACAGATCTGTAAGAGAAAACCTGAATATAGGTGAGAGAAAAACCTGAATAGACAGATTTGTGTTTGAAAACTCAATATGGGTGAGAGAAAAACCTGAATAGACAGATCTGTAAGAGAAAACCTGAATAGACGTGCTGTCGGGATGGACAAATTAAAAATTGTCAGTGTTTATATGTTGTCTGGTCGTTGTTCCACAGTATCTGTCATTGTTACCACTCCTCCTGCCTTGAAAGTATAAAACATATTGGGCACTCAGTGATAGTTGGTCAGGGCTTCGTTCTAGGACTTGAAGCGAAAACTAAGATTGCTGACATTGTCTAAGGCCTGTCTATTTTCGGAACAGCGGTTCGGAGCGTCTTGCGCAGGATTAAGTTTCCAAAAAGAAAGCCCTTGAGAGATCAACGCGACGACCACCCGTCTGTTGCGCGGAAGTCGAAAAGGACCTTGCTCTATGTCACAATGGTTAGATTATGTTGTTGGTGAGAAGAAAAACAACCTGCACCTGCTGGAGCCAGCCAGCACCTTCCCCAAGTTATTGCCAGGTGGCCACTTTCTTTGTCATCCCCTCCGCGCAGGCCGCTCTGGGCTCTTCCTAAATGGCACACGCAAGGCAAGCCCGCCTTGTCGCCGTCTGGGTCCAAGAGCTGCTCCAGGTTGATGGCGGAGAAGTCCACCAGCTTGTTCTGCAGTTGGCTGACTATCTTGATGCGATCAACCAGGACCTCAGGCCGACCAACGCTCACAAGCTTCGCGTGCGGAGCCCCGCGCACTGGTTGACCAACCGTAGCCATGGTTGCTGTTGTCAACGGCGATGCTGGTGATGGAGCTGATGACAATGCTGCTGTTGTTGGTGCTGTTGCTGGTGGTGCAGCTGGTGGCAAGCGTGGCAGTGGCGACACATGAGACTCTGCCGGCGGTTGCAGAAAAGCCTGCAATGCTGCGATATCCTCCCTCTCACGAAGCTTGTTTTTTGAGAGGCAAAGTAGTTCCTCCATTCCTGGCCTAGTTGTGTCGTCTCCATTCGGGCACAAGAGCTACTGTAGATCTCCGCTGCTGCCAAGCTGCCGAGCCGTCCTCGGGGTTGTCTCGGATCTGGAAACGGTGCAGGAACTTGACCTGAAGAACGGGAATCACCGCAGATTCTTGTAAACCTGTGTACCTCTTGACGGTGATGATCGTAAAACTAGGGTTGTTGAATGTCTCACTCATCTCCCTTTGTGGCTGCTCCATTTGCAGGAAACCGCGGCCACCAGAATAAACCTGGCTCCAATTGCTCGTGACCTGAACAATGATTCCGATTTTGAAGCACTGTTTTTTCCTGGCTGCATTCCTGAGTAGTTGGTACTTGTTTGCAGAACCATCACTTTTGACAGTTGTTCCCTGAGCTTGCCAATGAGGATGCGCTCTGTCCATGGGCAGAGGATCATCAAGGTGTCAAAGCAAAAGGCCAACGCTACGAAACCATACAATACTTGCGTTGGATGAGCCCTCAACAAGAGACACCCAGGAACAGAGGAAACAATGCGGATCAGACCAACATAAGGCAGGATTCTCGGAGCGCTCCAAAACAGCACAAAAGCAAAGCCAACTTTCAACCAATTCAGAAAAAAAAAAAGATCCATCCAATCTGGGAAATCCGGATATGGCCCAAGGCGCGTAGGGCACGGGGGTCTTCAGGGACCAGTTCTTGGCCATCTCCAAAAGCATCTGCACCGTGAGCACGCTGCAGTGCGGGGCCAGGACCTGCCGCATGGCCTCGGCTCTTCCGGAGGTCTAAACGGGAACACACGAGGCGTCCAAAACCACCGCAAAAGATCTGAAATGGGAGAAAGTACCCCTTCATACGGTTGCTTCGGTGCGATGGCCATTCAGCTTTGTGCTTAGACCCAAGCAAACGCACAATGAGTGGCATAAACTGCCGATGAAAATCAATGACCGAGGAATTCTGGGGGACGGAGGGCTTTTGCCAGGGGACAGTCGACTTTTTGTTGGGATTTGGCCACATGTGTGTGATCAACAATTTTGTGCAACTCTGAACGCCCCAACAAAGGTGGAATCCAGCACCCTACCTTGGCGACACGCGCCCGCATAAAGCAAAGAAGACACACGGACTGTGCTGCGGATGTTCCCTTAAGCAAGCAGCCTGCATGCCTTCACCAACTAATAACTACCAAAACAGGGCTCTTCTTGAATCTGGGAAACTCCCTCCCTCACATGCCCAGGGCAAGTGCAACCTCGGAGCATCCAGCCAGGAAGAAACGTCTACCACGCCAGTGCAGTCTGCATCTGCTTGACAGAAGGCATCAAAGAGCTCCTCCTCTCAAGAAGCAACCAAACGCGAGCCAGTTCAATATACACCGAGTGTCAAAAACCGCGTTCTAGGGAGGGCCATTTTTATGAAAATGGAGCTCCCAAAAAAGTGTTTTGGAGAAGGAGGGGCCTGCCAAAAACAGTGTTTTTGGAAGGGAGGGGCAGTTCCCAAAAACAGCGACAGGGTTTCAGGGAGTCAAAGACATAAACATGCAAGAAGGGCTCCCCAAACTGTTTTGGGAGGGACGGATGGGCACACAACAAGCGGCCCGTGGACGGGCTCCCAAAAATCGTGTTTTTGGGAGGAAGAAAGCTGCTGCGCAGACCAGGACCGCAAGCTTACGGCGATACGAATCAGGCGTCAGCTGTCACTTTCTGCATTTTTCAGTTTTTGTCGCTCGAAATTCAATGCGGATGATGCAGGTGATGCAGCCCAGCATCACCTGTAACATCCTCGGCATCACGAACACCCCAATCACCTCTGCGCCATGCAATCATAACATTTTGGGGTGCACTGTTCTGTGCCGAAGCCTCTTGCATGCCCACTCCCCCTCCAAAACGGAGCCTCTGTTGCGTGCCCCTTGTATCCCTTCGTGTCAAAGCCCGTGCCACGTACATGAAAAAGGGCCTTGACCCTAATTCCCTTCCTGCAACTCGCAGTGGCTTCCCTCCTGAAAATGTTGATCTCTGCTGCTGTTTGAGAGCTGTGCCCACGCAGATAGCGGGGGAAGCCCTCAGACAGCAGCAGAGAGGAGCCCAACTGGAACGCTACACTTGACGCACCATCTGAATCAATAAGTTTCATGAATTGGCAGTCTTTCAGGGGGGTAGAGACGTACTCTTACTCCAAAATGGACGACACTCCTCCCTAAACCACGAATGGCCACGAGTGGCGGTGACTTTGCCAACATCCCTGCGAGCCCATGCGCGAGTCTCAGCTGGCAGCTGAACCATCTAGAATTCAGACGCCAAGCCAGAGATGAGCCCACACGTATACAAAAGAATCATATCTGCAACTCCATCCTCTGCAAAAACAAATGTACCCTGTCAGGGAGGATTCATCATGCTGCCTCATGGAAACATGTTTTGGGCGACATCTTGCTGGGTGTGATATGCTGCTCTAGGTCTTCCTGCTTGTGTCCGGGTTCTGAATCCTTGATTTGCAAAAGCAAGATCTGCAACAGCAGGCTTCTTGCTCCTATTGCAGGACACAATGTGTCAATGCAACGAGACATGCCTCGTTGATTTCAAGCATGGCTGTTGTGCAAGACAAAGTGGCTGAGGCTATCATTGGGAATGACTAAGCACACTGGCCTTCCTCCTCATGCAATCACCTTGCGTCACAAGAGTCATGGCAATCAAAGCTGTTAGATCATGCCTGCTCACGAGATGCTCAAGACCCTCTTTGAGTCCTTCTTCCGATGTGCGGCTGCAAGCTGGCAGACGTTTCATGTTTAGGCTTCGGCGACCGAGGCCGTCGTTAACCTGAGTCCATGTCATGTGTTCAAGGGGGTCAGTATCCAGGGAACCGCAGGCTGAATCCTGCTTCGAGGGACTTGCTGTGACCGGTCCGAGATCTTTTGTTTTGAAGCCTCCACATGCAGACCAAGGGCCCTAAAAGCCGTGACAGTATGTCACAAAAAGAGGGAAAAACCTGCCTTGTGCTCCACAATCCGCTCAGCCATGAATTGCATGAGCTGCTCGCGGCTTGCAGACACTGACTCCTGCAGAAGTCAGACACTCCTGTGGCTTGCAAAAACATGTCTCTGTTGCAACGGTTGTAGCGCTTTTCGCATTCTCCTGTTCTCCCTTGTACAAGGAAGCAAGCGATTGATGCTGCTTGTACCTCGGATGGCTTCCGTCTGGGACCTGTACCCTCGCACAACGCCAATGAGACTTTCAATTGAAATCCTCAAACGAGCCGATCATGTGTTGTGATATGAAGCTGCTGGAAGATCGGCCATCATTGTCTCACACGCTCGCTATTTGCAAGCAATTGCTGAGCAATTGATCAGTGATCCACTTGGATGGTCACTTCTCAGCTAGAAGCCCGACTCCAACCAACCCGAGGGGACCGCGGGGGAACCTCACCATTTGCCCAAAACGGGTGCGGTTCTCACCCAGCACACAGCCCCAACTTGAACATAAAGGAAACCCACGGAGCGAATCAAACAAGGATGCTTGATCAAGCAATAGTGCACAGCTTGATCACGTTTGATGCAGCAAAAGCCAATGATTCAAGAAAAACAACACAAACTCTGAAGCCGGAGAGCGAAAACTACAAAATAATACTTATATCACGCAGGGGCCAAGTGATCCCAACAACTCTCAAAGGCACATCGTTGGCACCTGATGCTCTCTGGTCAGCTAGAAGCCAATTGTGGGATGAAATTGAGGCTCAGACCGGCAAAAAGATTCAGTCGGCCTCAAGTGATTTTCGTTCAAGCATTGCTCAAGTGGATGTCATACAGACATTGCATACATGTATGCGTATAAAATGTATATGTATGTAGAAGTGTAAACGGCTATGTGTATGTGTGCGTGTAGGTGCATGTGCAAGATCACATAAGCCACAAACATCACCCACATGGAAACCCTCCACGGTGAATGGATGGTAGTGAGGGGCTCTTCACCTCGGCCGCTCCCAACCCGCCTCGCACGTCTCTGCTGGCGCGTCCACTCCCAGGAGGCAGTCCGTTGGGCAAATGCCAAAGGCCCTCAGACGCAAATGTTCAGGTTGTTTGGTCTAAATCTGTTTACCATACAAGCACGTTTCAATCACACAGGCAGAGCCATGCATCTGTCACAATCGAGTTGGACAGATGTTCAACAAACCAGGACCAAGCATTCAGCGTGGCATCTTGCAGGCATCCCCCTTCGGCCGCTTTCCATCCAGCCCGCAGCCCTGAGGCCGCCCCATTCCCCATCCACCCCCCCAAGCCCCGGAACCTGCCAAGGAAGGGCCACCGAGCGGCGCTTCCCAGCGCGCTGCCAGGACGCCATCGTCACCACCAGTGGCTAGAAAGGTGCAGAGGCGAGGCCACGGTGGCGCCCAATGCTCGAGGGCCTCCGGCTCAGTCCTGCCCCAGCCACAGCAAGTCTGAGGTTTGTGATTCTTGTCAAGCAATGTTTGGCTGTAACTTCGAAAAAGGTCTTACTCAAACCATGTGTGCATATCTTGGACGGCAACCACGATGATGATGACGACGCTGCCGCCATCGCCACAATAACAAATGTAAGAACTCACAACAAACCTGTCGCATTTATCCCTGGCGCACGATTGACCAAACCTCTGATTTCGCTGAGGCCGCAGCAGCATTCCCATGACGTTGTCGCCAAAAAGGGGTCATTTTCTGGCAGGCCACGCAAAGCCAAATGAGCAGCCGTGGCGTCCAATGTTCTGAAAGGCGGCCCAGGTGCTGGGCGAGAAGATCTTTGGCTGCTCCCTCCCACCTCCATGTCAAAGAGCTAGCTTTCAATTAATTACCGTACCACGGAAGTTTCTTCTGAATTTCCTTTGATAAATAGTGCTTGTGTCAATGCATCGAACCCAAGTTGCTAGTGTGTGATTCCGTTCCGGTTGCAAGGTCTTGCACATTTGCCTTACGAACAGCTTCATCATGAGTCTGATCATGTGTAAGCTCCCAAGGCAGACCAGTATCATTCCGCTGGCTCATGTGCAACCTGCATAAAGTTTGGCCCATAACGAGACTTCCCAGCTGGTGGAGCAAGTATGAGCAAATCGTCTGTTGCTTGCCCAAACATCCCACCGTCCTGCCACCACCAGGGCGCAAAATAAGCACAGCTCCACGATTGCCTCGGTGGCAAATGACTGTCTCAATGCTCCTATGATTATCCTATCCATGATAGATGCCGTGCCAAGCGTTCGGGCTAAAACCTCTCGGCAAATTAACCTGGAAATTGCTCGCATGACCTGGGCTGCTCAGAGTTGTGCTCCACACAGCCACAACCCAATGCCTTCGTTGCATCTGCGCCGGCAATTGCAGAGGCGTGCGCAAAGCCTTACACAAGGACCTGACTTGCGCAAGCTTTCAGTGTACATGTGTGTTTGTGTGTTTGTGTGTTTGTGTGTTTGTGTGTTTGTGTGTTTGTGTGTGTGTGTGGCAGCGGGGACGTCTGTATGAATGCAACCTGGCACGAATGCCACCTAGCACGATGTTCTGGCCCTGGCTCAATCAGCAGTGATCCTAAGCCGAATTGGCGCACTCCCGTCTGCGTTTCTTAGGCAATTCAGAGCAGCCAGGTAATGAACAGCGATAAGACCAAATCACCGTGAATTGGAGCTGGAAAAAAACGCCGAATCTAGCACGTGGGAATACCGGAGCCACACCAATCCCAACGGTGCCACAAGAGAATACTGAAGATAATACTGAAGATCAACGCCCGCGATGCACACACACACACACTTGACCATGCAAATGCGGACATACTTTTCACAGAGGGCAGGCCAAGCCATCACAGCACATGGCCATACGCAACGGACCATATTACTTGCAGTTGGTTCCATTGGGTAGGCCGCTACTTTTTGGAATACAGCAATCAGGGGATCAACAGACTGCCCTGCAAGAATGTCCAGTGCTCATAAACGTAAACATCCGAGTGAGGGGCTGCAAAAGTCTCATGAGCCCACATGCTACTACCAGGCACGTCACGTCTGCATCTACATAAACATGTGAGGGCTGGTCTCCCAAGATGAGCTAGTGCCTGCAAGTGTCATCCTGCAACACATTCTCGGGCCAAAGCCTCCCACATGGTCCAGATAGCCATTGAAACTGCACACCTTGCACTGCATCTTGTTTACAACCAATCAGCTTGTTCAAAATGAGAGGGAAGTCCGGGAAGTGCTTTCCAAGTTTGGCAAGCCCTCCCCACCCCGAGGCCGTTGGTCGCCCAGCCGCCCACAGAGCCACAGTAGTTGCTTGCGGAGAAGACGGTGATGCACAAACCCCCGTGGTGTTGCTCCACCCCACGCAACGTCCTCTCAGGAAGGCCCCAAGCATGCTTTACGCAATATCGCAGCCTTGGAAGGTGCAACCATTGCAGCTGTGATTGCAGCCGCTCTTTCGTTGCAGTTTGAAGCGTCTGTGCGCATGTGTGTGAGAAGGTTCCCACCATGCTTGCCCTCTACAATCAAGGAATATTTTATAGCTTCCCTCGGGTAGCGCTTGTGTCGGTAACTGTCGCCCGCACCTTGGCACCTCGTGGGATCGCACCAGCAAAGCCAAATTGTTCCGCTCGCAGAAGGCACGCGTCTCAGACTCCACGAACTTCCCCGCACGGCTGTTGGATGACTTCTTCTCCTTGCTGATTCAAGCAACGCCAAGATCGGCCAATTCCCAAATCAGTCCAGGCGAGATAACAGCATTGGTTGGACCCCCCCTGGCTACGTAGTTGAAATTCGGAATCCTTCGCATGCTTCTGCCTTTTTCGTGCGCAACCGTCATTCGCAAACCCGCTCGAAAGTCAGGAAATGGCTGTCTTTGGCAGTGGCATGATTCATGCTCCTTCCAAGTCGTACGAGCCAAAGCTGTGCATGGATGGAAATGTTGACTCGAGTCTTCTTGGCAGATAACAAAAATACAAGTTGAAAGGACCTGCAAAGCAAGGCCACATGATAGACTGACAGGATAGTTTGGTCAGCAGTCCGTGGTTACGGAACAGCATCAGTCAAACTGGTAGAGCTACCACTTGGTACTGAATGACATACCTGGTTCAATCGACCTTGAGCAGTTGTTGTGTTGGAGCGACACGTGCTTCATCAACATACGCGTGAGAACATATCTGGTCATGTCCTTGATCGCGGGACCGAGCGCCCCTAGACTTTTTGAAGCGCAAAATGGTGATGAGTAGCAGAGCTGAAAAGCACACATGGTTGAATTTCGAATGCTGGAGGATCACAGAATCGACTGCTCGCAAGCCCGAGCAAGATCATATCCTGACTATTGTGACCATGTGACAGGCATGGTTCATTTCACCTCCATGGCTGATTCACATATCTCGATTCTGTGGAGATATTAACAAGAGATGCCTTCTTGGTGAGATTGTGCAACCCCCCAGGTTGGATGAGTTGGCCAATCAGCATTGACAAACCTGGCCCCACGTTTTGCAAAAAACTCTCCTCTTCCGACGAGGCTGGATCGGCCCAGAGGAAGCCGTACAGCAGCTGTCCGCCTTGATCCGAGGCCGGCAGCTTCTGCACCGTGGGCCTTTGCCGGTCCACGCTGCAGAGGTCCTGGCCGTGCTCACCAAACCGTTGCCCGGTGGGTTGTAGTTGGTCGCCCCCCGCTTCTGTGTTCCAGCACGCAAACCGTTGCGATTGCAATCAATGGTGGGAAGACTGCGGCTCGCAAAACGGCCAGTTGCAAGGCTGAGGCTGCAAAACGCCGGCTTCTCGAGCACTTATATTAAATATATACATATTGCGCAGTCATACACAACAGGCCTGACAAACAAAAATGATGCTGCCTGTCTGATACGATCTGTGTCTGGAGTTTACCCCGGGAGGATTCGCGAGGATGATCTTAACAAGGGATAGACAAGCTCAGCTGACGCAGAGTTGCTTATGCATCTCATCAAACAGAAGCAGCCCTATGGCCCTGCCCAGCTCATCCCACAAACGGATGCCTTGCCTGCAGCGAAACGGGGCTCGGAAAGCTCGGAAGGCCAACGGGCAGACCCCCATGGACCACGCCCACGCGGCGCTGCGTCAGCAGATCTGTACAGACCTCGCGGCAATTGGGCAGTGGCCACTTGTGCATTGGCCTTCTTTGAGGTTTTCAGTTGCCAGTTCCAGAGATCCAGTGCCCAGTTGGTTTCCCAATCAAATACACAGAGGCAACACAGAGATGTGGAGGGGGTTTCCTTTGCCCTTGACGTGGCAATGGCTACGGGCGCAACAGGAAGGTCGTTCGACTTGGTGTTCGCTCCCACGGGCTCGGAGTATTTCGAATCGATTTATCCCTTTCTTGGGGCTCTCTCTCGATGGCACCCTGGAAGACGGCATTAAAAAGGCAAGAAGTGGATGGCGAAAAGAAACGTGCCTGAGCATGGCAGAGATATGTTGGCAAGCGGTGTTTGGGCAAATAAACACGTGTGGTGGGTGATTGCTGAGCAAAAAATGACAATTGTTGGCTGTGTCTCAAACAATTGCACCAACATGGCACCTTGGTAAATAGAGCCAAACACTAAAACCTGGTGACCCTAGCCACACCCAATTGACGGCGTCAATTCAATGCTGTCAGGTTGAACAGCATGCATGATTCCAAAATTGGCTTGGAGATATGGAAGCATGCTTGCACGTGGACCGAGATAGGACTAAGAGTTGTAGCAGGGCCTTGAGGGCATGCCCCAAGTTGGAAGATAGGGCTGCCTTCTTTTGGATCTGGAACTCAGTGCTGCCATCTGGGTGGCCTGCCCCAAGTCAGCGCTTGTGTGGCTTGACCTGCAAACCCGCAAAATAACATACATCGAAACACATCGAAACACATCGAAACACATCGAAACCAGTACTTCTAATCGTTTCCCAGTTTTGTTTTTTTGTTTTTTTAATCAGCGCTTGGATATCCTATATCCTTCGATGGTGTGTAAACCGGGCAGCAAATCTCCCTTCCAGCCAAGTCTCTGCCGCAATAGGCAGCAGGGGGAAAACGGTAGTTGTGCAAACGTTCCAAACCGCGGAGAGGTGCTCCGCGAATTTCGACTCCAGCTCCGTCTTGAAGCCTGGGCGGAAGTCCGAAGTCTTGATCCCCAAACACAAAGGGCCAGGCATCTTACTGTATGGGCTTTCCAAAGTATCGTAAGCCTAGCCCAGCAGAATCACTTCATGTTCCCATCGCAATGCCACGGTTGATGGGTCCAAAATGTCCCGCGCTTGGACCCCTTGCTTGGCCCATATAACTTCACATGCGAGTCAACATTTCTATCAAGGTCAAGCATGCAAGGCAAAAAGCGCTCTGTTCTCCAATGGTGTCAATTTGGGCAAACCCCCAAGCTGCAAATTGACAAGCTGCTGTGCAAAATTGAGCCAAAGGAAAGGTTGTTTTACAGCACTCAAGAAGTACAGTACTCAGGAAGCAATCGCTTCCGCCTGAATATTTGTTCATGAGGCAAACACGGGCAAGCAATGGCTCAAGCTGCTGAGGGAGCCAGCAGCCAAGGCACAAGCCTTTCGCGCTCTGAAGACTCAAGACCAAGCCTGATTTTAGCTGAGGCGCAACCCTCCCGGGTGACCCCTCAAGCAACACTTCAGCTCATTCAAAGTATGCCCTGGCCCCGCAGGACCCTAGACCCGACCCGACAATCCATCCGCGGCGCCGTAGTGGATGGTGCAGTTTGTGTCCTCGTGATTGCCCCGGAGAATATGCAGAGACTCCGGGCAATCTCGCTTGATGGCGAAAAGCAACAGCAGGATCTCCACAGCGTGTCCGCCACCTCCGATTTCAGTCTATTGCCAAGCCCTCAGAACCGACATGCCTTCTCAGTTCAGAGTGCCGAGATTTGATCCACAATGAACGCTCTTCTCCCTACACTTGTCTTTTGCTGGGTCGTATGATCGTCTGAATGCAGCTGTTTGAATTTTCGTGGGGAATTCAGCTCATGCTTCTTAGCAGCACCTGGCTCTCTGAGCTTTGGAAAACAGGGGATCGCTCAATGACTCAACCTATACTTATAACTTATAAGCAATTGTCAGCAACATGTTTGCAGCAATAAGAACAAATGCGTTGGGTGCGAGATGCCAGTCTCTACGCAAGGTCTTTCGATCTCACCCAATCTGGCCCCGCCAAACAAAAGACCAGGCCTTGGCTTCGGGATCTGCTGGTGCCAATGGCAGTGGCAAACACAGCTTTCCACTGGCATGTGCGCGTGTATGCCCTCACAAACATGCTGCGCATCTAAAGCCGCGACTGAGCTCAGCACGATCCACGATGTCGCCGTTGAAGAGGTACTGATTTTGCGGCGATGGCCAGCCGTGCTTAAAAAAGATCCAAAGAACATCCTCCAGCTGCCCGTGTGTGTCCCCAACGATGATGAGCTGGTTGCCTTCCGCAACGCTTAGGTCAATGACCTTGGCTGGAACGCAGTCTCTCCAGTCGACTGCCTGACGAAGCGGCGGGCGGGGTTTGAAAACGCATTTGTGCGGTTTCCAACGAGGCCGACGAGCGCACATGGCGCGGAGATAGACGGAGAGACACAGAGAGAAGAAAAAAAGGAAGGAAGGAAGGAAGAAAGAAAGAAAGAAAGAAAGAAAGAAAGAAAGAAAGTTGAAAGAAAGAACGAAAGAAAGAAAGAAAGAAAGAAAGAAAGCAAGATAGAAAGAAAGAAAATAATAGAATAAACAAGGAAAACCAACAGAAACTTGAATGGAAAGAGAAAGAGAAACAGAAACAGCAACGGAAAGGGAAAGATAAAGAGAAAGAGGAGGGAAAGCGAGAGCGTAAGCGCGAGCGCGAGCGCGAGCACGAGGGAGAGGGAGAGGGAGAGGGAGAAGGAGAAGGAGACGGAGAGGGAGAGGGAAATGAAGAGGAGGGGAGAGAGAGAGAGAGAGAGACAGAGCCTGGCTTTCCAACAAACTCCCAAACAAAGGCGGCACACAAACGTGGGAAGCCACGTGATGCTGCACGAACAATAAAGACGAACTCAAACGCAAAATGCTCCTAAGCCCAACCAAAGCGTCAAGTATCTGGCCCCTCCCAAGAAGCAATGTGTAGTCTGAGGTTCGTTCATGTCCTTTCGCGTGTGGGCCCGCGCTTGGTGCAGCAAGCAGTTCCTCTCCCTTTGTAGTGTATTGAACACTCCGGCATGGAAGCCTTTGGAAAGTAGCCTCTTCACCCCCCCCCCCCCCACACGCTGGCGAGGTGGGCCGAGGTCAAGCCAATACTCTGATTGGTTTTTCCGTCCGAAAAGACCAGTGTCCATGTTGGAAGTCCTGGGTTCTTCCAGTTCTTCCCCTTGCCCTTTCGCTTCCTTGCACTTCTTTGCACCTCAGCCTTTTCAATCCGCGCCGCGTTGTGGGCCGGCTCGGGCGGCCAGAAGCGCTTGGCCAGCTGGAGATGCTCCACCACCGCTTTGGGCGAGAAGACCTCCTCGTTTCGGCGCAGCGCTTTGAGCCCGTCGTGGGCCATGATTGCTCCGATGATACCATGAGCTATATCATGTCAACTAGAGGACACTCCATTATTTTGCCAAAACTGCACATCGCCCACAAAGGAGCATGTAAGGATGTGTGCAAGGACCGGAATTCTCAAGATTATTGATGCTCCGGTAAGAGATGATCGCGGTTTTAATAAATGATCACGCATGGGGCGATGTCTCCCCTGGAACAGTGGATAAGTACAATGCCTTACTACTAAATCAAACAACTGCCAATAGCCAAAAGGGTCGTTAGTTAGAGACAGCTCACACCACCAGGTCAGCGATCCTCCATGTAGGTGCCCTTGTATCGGCAGGAGAGGCCAGCCGTGCGTCCATTTGTTCGGCCAGAGTCCTGCGGATGCGCACAAGTCAGAGATATCCAGCTCTCCGCAGGTCTATGGGATACATGTGATGCTGCCCAACTGTCGATCCGCCCTGAAAGTGTGCCAAGAGGGCAAAGAGAGCACAACAGGTAGGACGCACGCCTTGGGCTTCCAAACCGTTTAGATTGCTTCTGTTGCCCGTTCCCGGCTAGTTGATTCCAGCCACTGAAAAAAATCAAGGGCGAGGGCACAATATGGAAGGACCACACTGCAAGGAAGAGTCCTAAGAAGCTTCTGGAGGGCAGGAAACGAAATCTTTCCGACTCATACCTCAATCTGACCCTCACACATGTCCACATCTGCTACATCAGGACAGGTGGTTGCGGCTTCGCGCATGGCTCCTGCATCAAAGCTTCGGTGTCACTTGGACCCTTTCCCCCTCTCAAACATGTCCAACTCTGCCTTCTTGTCTCTGCCACGCGTCTCCTGGGCAATCAAAATTAACCCGCACCCGACGCACCCGACAGACCCGACTCCGTGGGATCTTCGGCACTCCTCCGGCAGGTCCCGCTCGAAAGCGGAGGCCAGCTGTTGGCCAAGGGCCCGGCTGCCGCCCTCTGCCAGGAGCGCCGCGTCCAGCTTCCCTTGGCTCGGCAGCTCCTGACAAATGTTGGCGAGGTTTAGGCCCCAGGCTGAGGGGTCCAACCGGACTGGCAGGGCAACTGGGATTCAAATCGCACAGAGCGCAAAAACAAATTCGCGCTCCCATGGAATATTGCAACCTTGGCTCCATCCCGCTCAAGCTTGCAGACTGTTTGAGGCTTCGGGGGGCTTGGTCACATGTTCCTGTGAATTCTCGGTGCGCATGGCCAAGATTCAGGCCAAGCCAAACCAGGGGGCAATTGTTTTCTCAGAGGGACCAGGCAAACCAGACCGGTCATTCAACCCATGTCCGGCTCCAAGCGCTTCGCCCGGGACCGGCCCGCCATGCCAGGCAGCGCCAGCCGCACCTTCCGTTCGCTTCGTCTCCACAACGGATACATGGACCAAAGTGGATGGAAACCCTACTTGGCGCCCCTGAAAAAGTGAAAACCGGCAAACATGCCATCTTGTTCTTACGGATCAACCTGCCAGCAAAATACTGTCACTGTCTATGCTGCACCATGGAGTGTCGACTCTTGTTCAGGTGAGTGATCAAGCCTTCAAACGATTCCAGCCAGCAGCTGAAAGCGCTTCTTCTTTTTTGGACGAGAAAACTCTGACGGCGTGAGACTACCCAATGGCTTCTGTATCGGCCTCTCGGGCTGCATTTTGCAACTCCCGCAACTGCAGCCACAACTTGGGAGGCAAAGCCCTTGAGAGTATCACCTTCCTAGCCACCAATTGCGTGTTGTCGGCACATTTCAAGGGCCAATCCTTGAACTCCTTTGGTCCGCGCTGTGCTCGAGCATAAGCCTGCACCATGCCTCTGACCATGTGCCAGTCTGACGTGGGGATGACAGACCGAAGGTTCGGCAGGGCAGATCCCCCTGTCTTCTCATAGTGCAAATGGGCCTGGCAAATATCCAAGACCTCGCTGGAGGTATCAATCAGCAAAGACGCTTCTTGCACTGCTGGGCATAGCTCGTCTAAAGTGTGACTGGACGCCAAAGAGGGCGACCTCGCGGACCGTTCCGACCGGAAACTTGGTGTTCGGCAACTCGGTGTCCTGCCTTTGTTCCGTGGGAAGTGTGGCAGGTCACAGGCGGCGTCAGGAATTATTGACTCTGTATCTTCTCTAAAGGCTATTAGGTGATGCGTTCCAAAGCGCAAGTGAACTGGGACGTGGAACAAATCCACGGCAACACGTATGTCGTTGGATCCACGCAGTGAAGCACGCAGGCATGGCGGGATACTTGCCTCCTTCAAATCATCACCGGTGGTTGTTACAATCAGCTCAGCCAATCGTGGCTGCGCCTCTGGCTGCAACAACTGCTCGAAGGATTTTCCATTCAGAGAAGTGCTCATCATCAGTAGGTGCTGCAGGCTCTGAGCATCTCCTTGAATATTCAAGTGGCTGTCCAACAAGACCTCGCCATCACACACACCCCGGAGAAGCCTGCGAAAACCAGCCAACATTGACTCAGCATGTGCAGTCTCAAATTTGGCCTCGATCTGAGAGCTGATACTTGACTCGAGAAAAATAGACAACGAGACAACGCTTGTTAACGTCACGACTTCGGAGACCACGAAACCTGTGGTGTTCCGCTGTGAGATAGCGATCGCGGAGGCAAGTAGTTGCGTGGGTGTGCTCAGCCTTGTGTTCACAGCTATGAGGGATACGGTGAACCGGCAAGCGCTTAGGAAGGAGTCAGTGCTGAAGTCGGCAAGCTGGCCCTTCTCACCGGACAGCACGAAAACCACTGCGACCAATATAGCCTGCTGGTAAAGAACAACAAAGGATACGTGGGATGCAGACATGCGCTCGAAGTATTTGTTGATAAATACCATGCTTGGGTAATCCACAACCAGGATCGCGAACAGATAAAAGCAACAGCTCTTGTCAGGTTGAGTGTAGGCGAGATAACCAAATGCCAATAAGCAAAAGGCAACAATGTGCACACCAAAGAGTCCTCCGACCAGGAAGGACATCTCACGCCGGACATTATTAAATGCATCCTGAACCTCCAAGCACTGAAAGCCTGGTGGGCGCGCAGCCGCTGCCACACTCGCTCTGGCTCGTAGTCAACGTATCCGAAGTGGATGCAAATGAAGGCTAGGATCATGGCAATTCCTATCGGCTCCATGCCAAATGGAAGAATCGCACGGCTTCGAGATAGTCGCCAGTTGCCAGTCTCTTGAGCCAGCAGCTGAAAGCACTATGCTGGAAGCCAAGAAAACATACCCGCCAACGTGGTGCGTATGCTTTGTCAACCACTTGCAATCGCCGCAGCTTTGCTGCACGCTGCAGATGCCAATCTTAGCCTTCACTCTCTCACTCTCTCTCTCTCTCTAACTCTCTCAACTCTCTCAACTCTCTCTCTCTCTCTCTAACTCTCTCTCTCTCTCTCTTTCTCTTTCTCTGTTTCTCTCAAACTCTCTCTTTTGCTTGTCCTTCAGCCTCTTCAGCCTCTTCAGCCTCTTCTCTTCGTTCGGCGCCTGGGACTGGCGCTGCACGCGGGCCTCCTCTGAGGCCTCGATGGCCACTGCCACGGCCCCCGGCAGCTCCATCTGAGCGCGGGAGAGGCATGGGCCGTGTGGGCCGTATTGGCCGTGGGCATGTGTCCAAACGAAACGAGAGACCGGCAAGCAGAGACTCGACCAAGGTTCGACTCAAGACTTGTGAAAAATATGACTTGCATTCCAGCCTCCCAAATAGAAAGAGCTACAGACATGATAAGGCTGGGGGCGGAGGGTTGATTCAGGGTAGCTCTAGGGTGGTTGGAGGGGTACTAGGGTAGCTGAGTTTGGTACAATCATTTAGGGTACGTGGGCCTTGAGGTGGATGTTGCCGGGGCGGCACATAGATGGTTCGACAAGAGATGCAGAATCAGCGCCGTTCCATTTTGATGTTGTTGTGCACCCATCTTGGGCCAATTGGCAACTCCCAACAAGAATTATGTTACTCAGGATATGCTTCTTAGGTGAGCTCACATTTATCAGTGTTCAAGGTTTTATGTGGGTTTCGAGTCCGCATATAAAAGCGTCGCTATCAGTGAGCTGCAGGCTGTCAAAGCTATGCATGTCAAGATGCAAACCGCGTGTGTACCATACCAGCGTACATCCATGCCCTGTGACAATCCCCTGGCAACATGGCTTTAGAAAGCACCGCCTGCGGGCTGCTTTGTATGGGGCTTGACTCCTCAATAGTAGTAGATCATCTCCCCTCCCAACAATTAGGATTTACATTTCCCATTGGAGGGAACTGCCCTTGAGCTGCAAGGGATCAACCAAAACAAGCGAATCCCACGTTTGAACAAAAGCGACATGGGCCACTCGACAAGACCGGGTTTGTCATGGCCTTTGGAGAGCTAGTCGGAGCCATGCCAGCACGCGGCCAAAAGAACCCTTGACAAAAGACCTGTGCGTCTGACAACCTCCTTTCCCCAACAATTCAATCACAAAACAACTTGGTCTTGCTTCCCTACCAACAACTCATTTGTGGTCGCCAAAGAAGGATCAGGAGTGCTTGGTTGAACTGGGTCGGTGACCAGCTTTAAGCCCGCGGGGCAAGCCAGTTGCATGTGGCCTTCGTCTGAGGCATCTGATTGTCTGGTGGGGCTGGGTACCAGTTCCCATGGTCGGCTACGGTTGTTCCTTCATACTGCCCTCAAGGGAAGACGTTACAGCTGTGTCGCACAATTTCTGCTCTCTGAACAAGACGTGAGCTGCTCTGCTTGCAACTTGTCTCTGCTTGAATTGATTCCCCGTGCCCTTGGGCCAAGGAAAAGCGCCCAATCCCTGAGCGGTGTGTCCTCTCTCGCATGCAGGCTCTCGCTCGCCCTATTCCAAGATTTGCCTGTCCTCATAATTCCAGTTTCGGTCGATGTCCACAAACCGCTGTTTCAGGCTTAACCTTCAAATGAGGGATTGAGTGAGAAATTGCAGCCTATTGATTCAGAACATATCCTTTGGGTGATTACATACGTCTTGAAATGTTCATGCGCTGAATAGGTCGTCTATAACCCAGCACTGGCAAAGGTTTCCACGGCTTGCACCCCTCAAATACAATGCCATCGGGCGAAAGGGAGATGCCCCCGTCTTGATCCGTGCGCGACCAAGACTCTGCCATTGAACTGCCGCAACAAGAATCGCAAACGGAGGAAACACCAGCAGCAGGTAGCGGTTTTACATGCGAATCCTTCCTTGAGTCCCCGCTGCCGGTTGATTGTTCAGGCCGCTAAGGAGGCGGCAGTTGGCAAATCAGTCGATCTCTGTTATAGCGTCATTGCTGTTTGTCCAAGCAATGACTTGCTGGGCCACTTGGCCAGTGGCCACTCAACAAGCAGCCAGCCTGTAGCTAAGAAAGACAATGTTGTAACCAAAAGGAGGAAAAGGCACACCACCAATCCATTGCGAGCCAAGCACCTCTCGCTCCAAACCTCAGGCAGTGGCCGCGATGATGGAGATGTCCTTCCAGGCTTGTTCTCGAGCGTCCTCACCGCTTACCGTAGCTGACGCGAACAACCGTCATTGGAACGATCCCAGGGTCTTGGGATTGGGCAGCATCTACAACAAAACAGCGCCTCCGGCATCTCTTGGTCAACTCCAACCTTCACCACAATGAGTTTCTTGTAGCAAGGTCAAAGTCCTCTGTCCAAGCTCAAACTATCGGCCGTTTGTGGGCGGCAACCAACAGACCTGCTGTTGGCAGTGCACTCCACAAACCTGGAACCTAGCATTCTGCATATTGGCAAAATCCTCAAGTTATGTTTCAGGGCGAGCAAGATCAGCCTGGGGTCACAGCACATGTTCACCCACCAGTGGACAAGTGGAAATAAAGCGCCGCATTGCATTTGGCATTGAAAGTCAGCCCCAATTGTGCCTCGTTCATTGGCGCCGCAAAGGCAAGTACTTCCACAGAAAATCGAGAGGTCAAACAGACCCTGTCTTTCGCAAGTGCAGAGCCCGTCGCATTGGTTTGAGGCCTCGACCGCACGCAGTTCACTCTGACAAGAGGCACTCAGAGATTTCACGCCCAGTCAAGTGGTGCACTATATCATGCTTGCACGGAAGACGAAGGGCTGGTTCCACCATGTTCCACCTGGAGGCGCATCCCTCAAACACTACAAGTGCAGGATTTGGAACTGCCATATCTTCCCATGAACAGCGCATTCATTGACAGCATCAGCAATAGCCAATTAAGACAACCTTGATAAGGAAAGTAACAATCATGTCACAGCAAAGCAAGCGCAGGCTAGTTCAGCATGGTCTCTTTCGTCACATTGCATCCTTGGTGCCGTACAAGATTCAGCTCGCCCTGACATCCTTCAGAAGGCATTTGATCCCTCTACGTACCCTTCGCTTGGATTGAGTCTGTACAGCTCATTCCTCCTCCTGCACTACATGCCCAAGTTCCCGTCGCTCAGTTGGCGCGTTGGAGCACCCGCGCGCGCGCACACACACACACACGCACCGCCTCTCTCTTTCTTTCTCTCTCTCTCTCTCTCTTGAATTTCAGGAAGTGTGCCAGACTTGTCCAGGCTCTCAAACAGTGAAAGTCCTGTAGCCAGGTTGGGAGGTTGTTGTAGGAGTCCCGCGAGGTCACATCCTCAGGAAAGTGACAAGTCGCATTGCTTGTCCAAGGTTGATTGTTAGCCATATGCTGGGGCCAGGTGTTGCTGTCTTGTGCCGCGCGCCTATGCGGCATACTGCGGCTCGAGAATGGTCTAACAAACAAACATAATTGCTCAATCAGCGGCATTGTAGCCTTCAATGTTGGAACAAGTGGCGGTCAAGTCACCTCCACTCCAGAAGATGCCTAAGCCTCAGACAAATGTCGGGCAAGCATAATATTGGTGGCTTGAAAGAAGGCTTGGATCAGGGAGGTTTGGAAGGATGCCAACTGGAAGGCAAGCCCCGCAAGCCAACATCTATCCCCACTGTCAAGCACCGGTTACCACTGGGAAAGGGAGTCAAGACTTTGAAGCACGTTGCCTTGGCACCCGCATCCGGGGCGTCCGCATACAAGATGAGAGCCCCGACCGCTCCTCGGTAGTACCTGGATGGGTTGGGTTGCTGCTATTGTTCTACTTCCGGCACGCAACTCATGGCTTACTTTGCCTTGGGCGTCCACTTCCACGAGGCAATCGAAGGCAAGGTCTGATTTCTAATCACAAGTAAAATAGATGTCCCATTTCTCAAAATGGCCCTATGTTCCGCGTTTATCCCTGGTTTGTGGTATCTTTGGCCGAACAAACTTCCATGTCGGTGCCCTTTGGTGTATGTTTGGGGTGGGGCTAAGGCCCAGTCAGAGTGGGGGGTGTAAAGTATGTTAAGGTAGCCATAGTGGTTCTGGGTGGGCTTTTAGGGCAAGCTTAGGGTGGGTTTTGGGTAGGTTTCCGATTCAGGGGAGGGCTGGAAATTGGGCAAGCATCGATTTGGAGCCTTTTCAGAGCTGGTTTAGAATCGGAATTTGGACTTGGCAGGAGTTTAGGAAGAGCATAGGATGTTTAGGGTGTTAAAGTGAGTTTGGGCCTGGACCTTAAACCAAGACTTGAACCCGCAACCAGAACCTAAGCCCTAAACTTGAACTGTAAACCTGGAACCTGAAAACACAAACCTTGTCATTGTCTGCTCCCAACGAGTGGGTGGTACCACAGCACCATGCTCTGAACAGAACGCATCCCTGCACCAGCCAAGAATGGTTCTGCTTGAATACTAAAAGGGGCCATGCTTGGGCTGGTGCTGGTACCACCTGAACGAGGCATGGTGGGTGCCGGCAACCCACGAGGCTGTGGGTAAGAGATGTACTTCACAAAGACTTATATGGATGCGACGCAAAGGGTTGCTTTTTTTGTGTTTTCTTTTGAAACAGGGCGGTGCCCCTCTGGCAACAACTGTCGACCGAAACTCTGTCTAAAGCCAAGCCCGCAGCAAGCCTTGGCAAAGTTAAACTTTGGAGCCGTGACTATGCCCAACCCACAAACCTG